GTGCTCTTTTGAGACGGTTCCGTGTGAACAGATGCGATGTCTGCTGTTTACAAATAATGACACGTTCACTGGAAAAAGTGCTTGGTCTGCACGATAAGCCGAAGAGATTGTGAGCCAACCTTGTTCAGAACTGTATGCCTGGACATGTCGATTCTTTTTTTTTCTTTTTTCCTCCTCCATGTTTTTTTACCCCATTTTAGAAAGGGGTTGGCGTGTTTGCCGCCGACGTCTTCGTTAGCGTTGGGTCCTTGACCCTCATCCGCTATACGATGTGCAAATATTTTCTCCCCTCTTGGGGGCTGCCTTTTCACTGTCTTGAGGGTGTCGTTCGCGGAACGCACCGAAGGTTTTGGTTTTTATAAGGTCACGTTTATCTTTTTTTGTTTTTCTTTTGTTGTTCCTGCGTGTGGTGTCCTAGCTGAAAAAAATGACGGTCAACGCCGAGATCGTGAATGGATTGCGTGCTGGACACAGCTGGTGTTCCCACATGACGACGGAGCGACGGCCGTGTGTGTGTGTGTGTGTGTGTGTGTGTGTCGTACAAAATCTTCCCTGGCCGTTCTGTGCAACCCCTGCATCGGGGGCGGGCAAAACGGAGCTTCGTGCACAACGGCGCGTGCTGGCCACCGGCCGCGCTTGGCCGTGAGGAGCACGGAGACCTTGGAAGCCCCGGACTGGCCGTCGGTCCCGACCGCTCCACTCTCGCCCACGCCTGAAAGCGGGAGGCTGGAAGCCAGTCGGATCTGCTGTGAATTTAGTGCCTGGAGCGGCTCTCTCCTCATTAGCAGGAAACAGACCCAATTTTGATGTCCACTTTATGGGACATGTACGTACCGAATGCGACCGGCTGGCTCCAGTCGCCCCACGTGTGGCCCCTGGCGTTTGCTGCCCGTATTCTCACAGTGTGTTTGGCTCTGGGCTGAGGGCTCACGAAGGTGTATCTAGTTCCCGAACCAGCAGGCACCTTTGGAGAGGACAGACAGTTAGAGCGAGTTGTCACCTGCGTTGAGAAAAAGAAAGGGGTGTGTGTGTGTGTGCATGTGTGGTGCCTTTTCATTTGCATCACTGACGCGGACGAAACACGCAAAGCCACGCTCTCCTGATCCACGCACGAGGGCGGCAGAACGAAAGGGGGGACTCGGCTCCGAAAGCAAAGCCACGTCGTCACAGGCCCGGATGTCCGTGCTGCCGGGAGACGCGTCCCTGGTTTACAAAATTCACGTGCGTCGTTACGGACGGCAGACTTTGCAGGAGTGGCTGCGGTGATGTGGGTAAAGGCTGCGAGCTCAGGCTTAGAAGTGTCACCAAAAAGCACCCTGAGGACCGAGCTGCGGAGGTGCTTTGTAGGAAGAAGCCGTCTCAACACACAAAGGAACGTTTGCTGGCCGAAACGGACAGCGGAGAACAGGATGGGAAGTTTTAGCACGGTCTGGCTGACCGACAAGGGTGGTGCTTTGAGTGACAGCTGTAGCTCACCAGTGGATTTTCGCTTGGTTGCGTATTGTCCTAGAAAAAAAACAAAACAAAAAAGCACAAGTGAGGAAAGGTTTCCTTTTGAAGGTTTATCACGCTTTCATCCATTCTCCCCTTGAAATGCAGGCAGAGGAACCAGCTCAGTTGCGGACGACCCGGGAGCTGACCTCACCGACGGGGGAAAAAGGGGTCGCAGAAGGGAGAACGCTCCCTGATCGCAGCTGCTTCCGAACCGGAGCAGCTGACCTGTCCACGTTCCAACCCAGGTGACACGGAGCAGACCAGCGCCGCCCCACGCTGCCCGCGTGCCCGCGTGTCCCCCACCCGCCGCCTGTGCCCCGGTCCTCGCCGACGCGCTCCGTAGGCCCCAAGCCCTGCGGGACGCAGCGCCCCCTCACCGCTGTCCGGATGTCCAGCTGGAACTGGAAGTCCCCGTCCGACAGGTGTTTCTGTAGGAGCCGGGGCTTTTCCCACTGGATGAGGCAGTGTGACTGGTTGCAGCGCACGGTGATGTTGTGAGGCGGGCTGTATCTTTCTGGAACGAGAGCCCAGGACACCCCTGACCCACGGGGCTTCCTCGGAGGCCACGGAGCTGAGAGCAGCTCTGCCCACCTGGTGCTCACGGCCAGCTGCCCGAGGTCCCGGGGTGGGGGCTTGGCGCTGGGGGACAAGGACCGACAGGCTGCTACGTGCAGAAGAGACGAAGTTTGGGTTCCCGGAGGCCCAGGGAGGGAGGCAGCGGTGGGCGTGGAGGCCAGAATGTCTGTAATGACAGGGGCCTGGAGCCACCNTCTGCCCTCGTATGTCTATGAATCCTCAATAACAGGTTAAAAAGTTAAGCCTCTTGGTGATCATGAGAGAGCTTGTGCCATCGGCACATTCACAGGACACCTAGAAACAAGTTTCGTTACATGGGTTCAGTATGTTCTAAAGCTTTCGTTGCAACGCGAAAGCACCGAATTTGTGGGAAGATGATTTGGGGGGACTTGGGGTGTGATTCCCGTTTAAGTTCACACGTGGCTGAGTGACGGAATTCAAAAAGGTTCCTGTGACCGGTGAAACGACCACAGTGGAAGCAGCGGTCCCAGCGATGGCAGGAACCGCCAATGACACGGTAGCCAATCCCTGTTTTCATTTGAATTGCACGTTACTGATAACTGGGCTCTTTGGGGTCTCTAGTCTCTGCCCAGAGACGTTGTCACGTCCCCCCAATTTTACAGATTCATTAAGACAAGTGGTGGGGGGCGATGAAAAATGTGATGGGCGGTGTTGGCCGGGGTGGAGAAGCCAGGGCCCTCAGACCCTGATTGTGGGGGTCACAGATGGAACAGACATGGGGGGGCGTGGAGTACGGTCTGGCCTTGTATTGATCTGCGCAGGTGACTATGACGAAACACCGCAGACTGGGGACTCAAACACCGTTTATTTCTCATAGCTCTGGAGGCTGGACGTCCAAGCATCACAGTGTCCTGGTGACAATGCCCTTCCTGGTCCTGGTCCCTCACATAGAGGAGAGAGTGGGCCCTGATGTCATCCTCTTTAATCAGGACACAGATCCCATCGTGGGGGCCCCCTCATGACCTCACCTAGCCCGAATCCCGCCCACAGCTCCCACGTCCTCCCCGCCACCCACTGGGGTTGGGGGTTCGGCCTGTGAATTTGGGGGAGGCCGCAGCAAACAGCAGGCAGTCCTCCCATCTCATCGTGTCAGGCGTACATGTCCTGCCGGGCCCACGCGTTTCACTCTTAGCTGTTTGTCCAAGTGACAGTGAGACCCCCCACCCGCGGGAGGGCTTGCTGAGCTGGCCCCAGGGCGGACCTGGCTGAAGCGCCCCCTAAACGGACACAGACAGACATTGTGATGCGTCCACGCGCCCTACACGTCTACAGAAAGCGTGGAGTGACCCCCCCAGGCCCCAGGCTGGGCCCGAATCTCACAGGCACACTGAGCCCCAAGGCCAGGCCCTGGGGGCGCATGTCTGCCAAACCCCAGACGTGCAGCGCCCTCTGTGCGCGGTCACCCAGTCAGTCACCTGGCGGAGGACGCACGGGGCGGGGACCTCTGCACCCAGTCAGTCGCCTGGCAGAGGACACAGGGAGGGGACCTCTGTGCCGGTCACCCAGTCACCTGGCGGAGGACGCACAGGGTGGGGACCTCTGTGACCGAAGCCGAGGTGCTTACGCAGGTGTAGCCATTTGCTGAAGCTGAGAAGGGAGCGTTTCACCGTGTGCCACCCCTTCCTCACCCCGGGGCATGTCGCAAGAGTCCTGGGGTGGCACTCCCGGTGCAGGGCCGCGGTCCCGACTGGGCGCGGCGGGGGCTGCGCCCGGGGAAGAGCAGAGACTTGGGGACGGTGAGTCACAGTGTCCACATCCTGTTTCGCTCTCGGAACCTGGCCCGCCACCAACGGCGCGACCGCGGTCCCCGCATGGGCCCTGAGGGCGCCAGGTGTCACTGACTCGGGGGTGGGGGGTAGGGGGGGGCGCGCTCTGGGTCAGG